GGGGGGGGGGGGTGTAAGAGAAGGAAAAAAAAACAAAAAGAAGGTGAGCGGCGGCCAATGGGCAGCAAAGGTGTAACATACCTCGGCCAATAGGGGGGAAGGGCGGGGCGTGGCCGCGGCGCCATTGGCCTGAGGCGAAGGAAGGCGGCTGTCGGGGGGCGGGTCCAAGGAGTCAGCGGTGTCGAGCTGAACTCGATGAACCCCTTGAACCGGCGCGTGCCGCGCACACGCTGCGCGCCACCATCGCCACGTGCCCGCGCATTACATGACTGGAAAAGCAAAACAACCGCACGTTCCCGAAATCTCAAAGAAAATGCGTTAGCTCCAACACACACAAACTACACGCACAAAAGACACGCACACTAAATTCGTCAATAAAACGTTAACATGTTCCTCATATTCAGACACCATAAACATGCTAACATGTTGACACACAATACCCCTTTACATACACACTAAAAGTACTGATGACTATACAGTAAATGTTCAAAAGTTACTCCTTCATACACCCTCATTAAATAAATATGAACACTACAAACTCCCACACCCGAAATAGGTCAACAAAATACCAATTATTAATGAATATACTGTATACTGTCAACAACATACATTACTAACACTGTGTGTGTGTGTGTTTATAAACGAAAACATATACACACTAAGCATCTTTAAGTCAAAGACACATCAACATGTTGATACATGCAGACGAAATTAAAATACATTTGTCAGCCTAATATCATAATAGCCTAGTTCATTCCAGAAAGAAAAGAAGGGGGTCGCTGTTGCTAAGCTCAACCCTTTCCAGTTTTATTCAAAACCTTTCACAACCCATTGAAAATGTCTTTCAATATTTTCAAAAGTGATTTTTTAAGGCCCAATACACACACGCACATGCACACACAAAACAAGTTCTTTTTGAGCTTCCCGTTTTGTGACTTTTCACCTTTGGTCTTGAACAGATGAGAAACGAGCTCTCCCTGTTGAGCAAGTCGCGAGCGTCTTACGCTGTCTGGCCACAAGACGGCGGTAGAGGTGTCCATCAGAAAAGGAAACTAGGCTTTTGCTTCTTTTGCATCCATGAAATGGGGGTCACATGACTTCGGTCCTGTTTGCTTGAGCCACCTTCGTGGCGAAGACACGCCTCTCGATGTTCATCACTTCCTGGTGCAGGTGGGCGGGGCTGACTTGCAACAAGAAGCAGAAGAACTGGAGCAGCCATAGGAAGGATCGCGGCAGTGTGGCCTCCACTGCCGCTGCTGCACAGAGACTGCTGCACTTCCTGTACACAGAAGATGGAGTCACGTGGGACATCAGCAATGACGACTCATCGACTGCCGCAATAAAAATGATCATTGGTGGTCACAAAATTCTTTCTTGTGGACATAGGTTAGGTGCGCGTGAAATGCGAATGAAAACATTCACCTCACAAACATGCCAATTTTATGTCTTGAAGATATGAGCAAAAACTGAGATACGAGCGCACTTGGGAGCCCTGGCGCGAGACGGTGTCAGCAAACTTAACAAGTGAGCGCCATGGAAGAATAAGATCAGTAGGTTGTGCCGCAACATGCCGGTTGGCACTACTGAAAGCAGAATCAACAGTAGAGGAGACAATTCCCCCCACCCCAGCAGGAGAGTGCCCTGTCGTCAGCACGCACATCTGCGGCAGGCTTACCGTGAGTTGCAAGTTGCTAGTGGCGGGTGCCAGTACGTCGTGTTGACGGGGGTCAGGACTTCGCCTTTTTGGGTGACGACGGCGTCCAGGTTGCTATCGCGTAGACTTGGGCCGTCAGCGCCGTCCGCTCCCCCCCAGCAGAACGTCAAAGAGGACGGGGCCGTGGGGCGAGCACGGGGTGCAGCGCGTCGTGAGAATCTTTCCAAACACAACGCCAGCTGCTCCGCCACCCCTTAAAACGGACGCGCACACGCACACACACATGCTTTGAGCTTGTTGACATCGCTGTTTGTTTGCAGTTTCCTTGGTCTTACTTCTCTTTTTCATGACGACAGATTTGAGCTTCCTGCTTGGGTAAAGAGGTGTGGCCTTCCACTGCTTCCTGTAGACGCCGCACAAATGAACACGTTGAAGGAACCGGCACGGCTGCAAGGTCCTTTGAATGGCGTCTCACCGGGCAGTGGCGGAATCTCGCGCCCGCTGCTTTCGGAGCTGGGCGGCGTGCAGCAGCCGGTACCACCGCCTTAGGCTGAAGACCATCCCAGGGTGCCCCCGTGCCGCCTGTTCTCCGGTCACCAGATCGCTCGCGGTGTTCGATAAATCCCTGAGGGTCAAAACCGAGGTCAAGGACACGAACAGGCCGAGGAGACAGGAAGTGACATCACCATTCAGTGTGGTCGTCCAGTCCGAAGAGGAGTTTGATGGTGACGACGGCGAGGGCGGCGGCCCGGACGTCGTACTGGGGCAACACGGGGCGGCTCGAGGCTTCCGACGGGCCGCACGTCACATCTGCCATGCCGCTGCGCTCCATCAGCTCGTACAGCCACGGGTGGAGTTCGTCTGGCAGGGGTGGGGTGGGGGCATGAGTGTTGCCATGGTTACATGATCACCAATGACAATCTAATTGATCATTTCAGTCTGAGAGTCCACTACGTGCCAATCTCTCGCTAGTGATTGGGTCGTAGTGGGCCTGTGGGTGGTGACTCGAATTGAGCTGCCAAGTGGCCGTTGAAAATGAACGCCCAATCAGAATTTTTCCGATTGGAGTCAGAACGGGTTCATAGCATATTGTCGTCACGGAAGACTGTTTGGGTGCTCCTCACATCTCCTTTCCTTCGTGTGACGGGGGCGACGCGGGGGGTGCACAAGCGTGAACGCCGCATACGGTGCCACATTCTAGCAGACGCCGGCGAGTGGTTGGTTAGCAAGCGAGCATTCGCGCACCGGGCAGGTTGGCGTCGGCCAGATAGCGCAGGCTGAGCATGGCCGGGTGCAGCGGGTCCTGGCGGCGGATCCGAGGAAAAGCAGGAAGTTGCAGGAAGTTGACAAGCGTCTGGGCCTCCCGGTGCAGCGCGCGGTAGGTGGGGATGCTCTGCCAACACAATCGGCGCCGTCAAGACCCGAGAGACGGGTGTGGGGATGCAAAAGGTGCGGAGGGGCCTGACCTGCACGGTGAAGATCAGGGCCTCAGCGCCATCCAGCTTCATCTCCTCGGGCAGATCCTGGTAGGCGTGGACATACGGGATGGCACCGTCGTTCGCCAGCCTGAAGACAACAGAGGGGCATAACGCAAAGTTCCACAAGGCACAAGTCCACATTTCAAGCAATAATACCAGGAGAATACACGATTGCTCAACTGAAAGAAAACTCTTTCCCACTTGCATACTCCATTTGAAGAATGGTTTTGCTGCCACATTTTTGTCAGGGTTTGGTTCGACACGCGGCTCACCTGAGCAGGTCGCTGAGCGTCAGCGCCTGGCGACTCCACACCAGCGCCACATGGATCAGCGCCAGCGTCTTGGTCATGCTCATGGCACCGCGTTGCCACTTGCGGCGCAGCTTAGGGGAGGCGGAGCTGCCCTGGGAGCCGGTCGACCAATCGCTGTGGCTGCCTGCGGGTTTGAAGGTCACACGTTAATGCGGCCGTCGGCTTTGTTGCTTGCTGTCTGTCATAGATTTTGAATTCATTACAATGCAAAGAAACTTCCAAGGGACTGGCTCAGCGGAGCGAGGCTATAATCAAAAAGCTGATGTGATCCTAGACATGACACCGTGTAACTTAAGCCACTTTGCAGTCGCTCCAACGGACTTCAGCTCAGTGTCGTGCTGACCCGCTTGCGATGGGGACCTGTCGGTTGGCCACGTCTCGCCGTCCGTCTCGCTGGCGGACAGGTAGGACGATTCAGCGGCGCTTCCCGATTCCGAGTCCACAGCTTGCTGAAGACAAAATCAATCAATCAATCAATGCAAGAGTGGAACACGGGCTCTTGGAACTAGAATATCATCTCCAGGGGCAAGGATTTAAGACTAGAACCTTGTCAATCTAGATATGGTCTTCTCTCAGGACTAA